AAAAAAATCGGCACACATCTAAGAATATATTTTTACCAATTATTTGCCTCCTTAATTGAAATAATCGGCAACTTTTTTTTTAAGTTTTTTTTTTTAGCATTTAAACTATAGTTTCAGAATGGTAGCTTTTGAATATCCAATACATTGGTAGTAAGAGCCCTCATCCCACCCTTTGATTAAAAAAAGGACAGCAGAGCGGTAGAAAACATGTAAAACAGAAGAGTAGAGAAACCGAGGTAAGTAGAGAAGTTGGAGGATACGTAGGCTTTTCGATTAAATAAAATTAAAAGATTGTATTCAAGTAACAATTTTAAGCTAATGAATATTTGCGTTTAAAGGTGTATATAAATAACAAATTTAGATGATAAAAATAACCATAAAAGAGAGCTTAACGACGTGTTCGGGGTACCATCCAAACCATTTGTGGGATAGTTTACCCATCCGGGATACAGTTCGTGTGGAGTGACAAGTTGACAACTGAACAAAGTCGATCGGATTCATGTCGATGTTGTCTATTTGTCAATTTGTCACTCGCAACATAGTTTACACATTTTTGGGTAGGTTCAGTTTTGACCGATCTGGGTGGATTCTACCCAAATTTGGGTTGTTTTGAAATATGTCCTCCTTTTTAAACCTTGCATCTTTTCCAGTAACGTATTCATAAAATTGTTTTCAAAGAGCGTTGTTTGCAGAGCTTATTTGTTTAATTATGTCGCAACCTCATCTTATCTAGCAAATGCCATTCGATGGTGGGACTAGGAGTATACTACTGCTGTCAACCCCCCTACATTTAGGCTGCGGTTCATTTGGTGAATTTTCACTTAAATTTGACAGATGGAAAATTTTCAAATAAACCTGAAATCTCGCCTGAAACTCAACCAGACTTATTTTAGACAAACCAGGAATCAATTCCTCTAGGACTTTCTTTACCCCCTGACGGTAATAGGTTAAGGTATTGCCGAAGCCGACATTTCCCCTATCAAAAATAAATTATGAAGGCTAGTTTGATGCATTTTTCAAAAGTATAACGAGAAGATGAATTGAATTGGTAACGACTACAAGTTATGAACAATCTCAATTGAACATTAGCAAATTATGTAATGTTCTCCTTTTCAAGTTTGTGATATGGTAACCCTATATATAGCATGCAATACTTAAGGCACTATTTTGCTGATAGTCTTCCGGAACACTCTTGTCAGAAATTCAAGGGATCGATATGAATGAAAAGTAGCGAGAAACCGTAACGCAATAGCCAGGTGAACCCTTGGAGTGACTGCAAAGCGGAAAACGGTATCTTGCTTCTCGATATTTTCCTTTACCTGAAATATTAAACAGAACAATTCGCGGATGGGTATTCTAGACTTCAAGCATATAGTAGAACGAAATTGTTCTCAATTTTTAAAATCAAACTTTATCTGTGCTAAAATTGATTCGAAGCTTTCGATGTTCATTAGATGTTCTTCCAAGTCATGCTCTACTCTTTTTGACAGGAACGGATTCACGTATACAGGTTTGCTTCTCAACCTTCGTATTTCCTCGAGCTCTACACGTTCAAGATCATCTAGCAATGGTATGGCTGTTAACAATCTTTTTCTGACTGAATTATTCACTTTTTTACCAAGCATTTAATTTTTTTCGTGTTTTTACAAGAAACAATTACTAGATACCATGCTAGACAAATTTCATAACAGATATATTTGAGTTGACTCACTAAATGCCCAACACCAAACATATGACCGGCTGGTTGCCATATGTCGTGACATATTTGTTAAAACAGAAATGTCTAGTGGAGACAGCGGGTTAAACGACCTTTACTGGAGTTAGTTACGGGTAATTTTAACCAGATGTAAGGTAAAGTTGAAGTTACAAAGCTTGTACACAAGTCTGTCAGGCCAAACATTGTCAAACGCATTTTCAACGTCTAACAAGGCCATGGCTGTAGACTTGGATACAGCTTTGTTACTTCGGATGTTATTCATCACCCGAACTAGCTGGTGATTGGTGGAGTGCCCCTTTCTGAATCCAAACTGTTCCGGAAGGAGAATATTATTTTTCTTGATAACTTGAGCAAACGAATGAGAATGAGTTTCTCGAACAATTTGCTCAGTGCTGAAAAGAGGCTGATAGGTCTGTAGCTTGAAGGCAATGTTGGATCCATAGCCGCTAGTCCACTGCTGGCGGCACACTGTCGAGGGCAGTAGACGGCGATGAACTGGACGTATCCAGTGGATGACTGTATCTCCACACCAAGGGCCTCGATGATAGAGGTGCGGATATGGGACAGAGAGCACCGGACATGTTGACGAAAATTTCCATCAGTTCGTCCGCTGAGAACAGATCGGGGTTGTTGTTTTGCGCTGTTGGTTGTCTCCAGAATCCAGGGGGGATTGACAGCTTTGGCCAGCAGAATCACCGGAAGCTTCTTGAGGGAGGGGGGGGGGTTGCACCCGCGAATTCGCTTGCCTTTGCTGGGGAGCACGAAGAGGCGGGAAATCCTCCATCCTGAATGCTGGGGTTCTGTTCTTCTTGCGTCCTGGTTGATTATTGTTTGACGCCTGCTTTCGGATGCGTTTGAAATCCTCGCGTTTGGAGCATTGTCTGTCGGAACCTTGATGTGCACCATCACAGTTTGCGCATTTTAACGTCACGGCACCATCCGCAGGGCAGTCAGAAGTGGCGTGTTCGTGAGCGCAGTTGCTGCAGCGTGGATTGATGTTGCAGTTGCGGGTACCGTGTCCAAAATTGAGGCACCGCTGGCACTGTGTTACGTCACGATGACGCCACGGTATGGCTCCCACCGTACGATGATGGAGTAGATCGATCGGATGGCTTGCAGCGTCCCTTTCTGGAAGTGCACCAGGAAAAGACAATCCGGGTACGTCTTCACGTTTTCGTCTCTCCTTGTCATTCGGAAGACAGCGATTGGGGCTAGCTTGTACCGGTTTATTTCAGCTTCGACCATCTTGCGGCCGAAGTTTGGTAGACCCTGATGACTACCTTGAAGGGCTTCTCACCGGGGATGTCGTGCGTGAAAAATTCCACCTTGGAATCCTTCAGATATTTCACGGCCACTTCATACTCCGCTTTCGTTCGAAGCGACAGACAGAGCGGCTCGTAAACTTTGGTGACTACCCTAATAAACAAATACCATAAACGAACTGTATCCTGGATGGGTAAACTATCTCACAAATAGTTTGGATGATACCCCGAATACGTCGTTAAGCTCTCTTTTATGGTTATTTTTATTAGGGTAACCTGCTATTTCAATTTTTCAGTGTACCACATGGCAACACCACTACTACTGGATTGTACCACATGGCAACACTACTACTGGATTGAACTAGCATTTTCACCAAATGTATTAGAATGTTTTGGTTCTATCTCTTTCACTCTACTCAAAACTGAAATGCATAAAAAAAAATGACAAAATGATACACTCTTTGCACACTGTCAAAGAATCATTGTACACAAAATCAACTTTGTTCAAATCAAAACAAAAAAACTAACCCATCTGGTGGATGATGGCACAAGTTTACAAGAAAATTCTATTACAGTGAACCACATTATTTAAATGGATTTCTTCGCCAGTTAGTCGTCTGTCACTTCGTTTGTGCTATAAGAGTAGGTAATTTTTTTGCTGGTGTTAAATGGAAACTACTATATGCAATTTACTCAAATTTGGGTTATTGGGTTGAACCCCGGAATTGAGGGAAAAGTAGTTAATTTTGGGTAGTTTTTCATCTCCGTGTACACGGACAGAAAATTGTTTGCATTGAACCAAACAAAACTTTAGTTGTATTTAAACAAACAATTCCGGTTGAAATTATATTGCATTTTGTTGTTTCAATAATACTTATTCATATAAATTCAAAGTAGGATTCTTTTTGTTTTAATAAGCCACTTTTCAACTGCAACTATTGTAAAAATAACTATATTCTATTATTAATCCAACAATAGTTCATTTTAATTTAGCATTTATTTGCTGTGTCCATTCCCCGGGCCATGAATGCAAAAATAACTACCAACCATTCCCTCGTTTTCACCCGGACAAAAGTGTAAACAATAACAAAACTTGTGAATTTCGGGAAATAAGTGCAAAATTTCCGAAAATCTTGAGACTTGAGGTAAGTAAGTATGCTGCAGTTCAAGCTGCAGTTGCTAAATATAATCAATTTTCTGTTTTTTTCCTTGATTTTTTTTCGTCGATCTTGTTTTCCGTACTGAGTACCAATGCTCCTGACGCCAGGAAGGCAGCTCCCACACCTGGACCCTACATATCGACCCATCAACTAATTAACCGGGGACCAACGGCTTTACTTCCCTTCCGAAGGATGATCAGTGAAAAAGATAACAAAACATAAAAAAATGCCATATTATTTCCGGAGTGATTTGAGATTTGGGCGTACTTGCATTTGTAAACAAATACGTCAATCACCGATTTCTCGCGAATAAAAGCTCAATCTCGAAAAGTATTAACACTATGCGGTAGAGGAATGATTCCTCTATCATTTGGTATAGTTTGTTTGTGAGATTGAGCTTTTATTCAAAAGAAATCAGTGATTGACGTGTTTGTTTTCAAAAGCAATTACACCCAAATCTCAAATCACCACGGATTTTTGAATCAATAAACATATTTTTATTTCTACTGCGTGAATTTTCAGACTTCATAAAATAAATATGATTGAATCAACAAGAAATCTCTTTTAAAAACAAACATATTTTTATTGTTGACCCAGCTGCCAAATTTGACAGCTTACGTCAAAACCATGAAAGCTCTTGTAAATTCGAAAAGATTTTCTTTTTGATTTAACAATCCATGGGTTTTGAGGAACAAAAATACTGGATTGTTGAAACAATAATGATTTCTTTTTGCAGCCAAAACAAAATGAAATTCTTATTGATTTTACGTCAAATATTATTACGTTTAAAATATTTTTTTCTGCGTGTAGTATTTACTCAATCAATGACGTTTTTTTCTTACTCATATTGTATATTTACAGCCACAGCAACTGTTCAAATCGCTAAGCCTACCATTGTAGGAGACTCTGGTGAAGGTTTGGAGGAATCAGCAGATTCAGAAACACTCTATGATCTAGTAGATGACGGCGATGACTTTTGGCATACATCTGTTGGAAAGTTTAAATTCACTATTGACAATCTGCCACAATCTTTACAATACATCCATCAGCTGTTGAAAGAAATTCCTACCATTGATAAACCGGACATTTTGTACTACACACTACAGTGCTTGAAATAATGTCCTCCATGGCGATGCATTTACCAAGGCGGCACGTGATGATCGTGGATTTTTCATTTGGTGCCAGGAGAATCTACTTATCAAAAAGTAAACTTATTGATCTCTATTTATAATAATTTAACGTTAATTACTCTTGAATTGTTTGTAGCCTGTGGGATGTTTGCAACGCTGAACACTCGCACATTTGCGGAGGTATCCGTACCTATACTTTTACATTGTGTAACTTTACCCTTGGGTTCGGATGTATTTTGGAACGTTGTTCAAGATGCTTTTCATCATAATGACTGGCGTGTTAGGTTCAAGGCCGTAGAACGAGTTACAGGTAATTATTGATATACACATTAGATATGTCAGCATCAGTAAAATACTTTCTTTTTTAGTTCTTACAAGATTTATGGATTCAACACCACTGCGTTCAGAAGTTAGTTTACAAGCCTCTCTTGCAACCGCCTTCTGCCATCTCATTGCAGCGTGTGACGATTTAAACGTTCACGTCGCACAGCGAGCTACTTTGTACCTCGGTACCATTCATGACAAAGCCATACAGGCTTTAATGTATTGCTTAGAATCACAATTTGATATGTTTATTGTTGACCGACCAGTAGTATTACAATCAGTGTATCAGTTACATAATATGCTTTCTGACAGAAAAGTACTGTCATGGGAGTTCTTTCTTAATCGATTCGATACACTATTTGTTGAAGCACAAGTAAATTTGGAGAAAAATGGCGACATTTCGCATCTTCGAGATTTGCGTAATTCCGAAAATGGAAGTGAAATTCTATCTACAAAAATCAATAAAGCCCGCGAAGCACTAAGCCAATCCGATACGACTGGAAGTATGTCTAAAACACTGAGTGCTTCGTTTGGTACTAAATGGCCATATAAACGGACAATGTCAGCACCGGCTACGATCATCCCTAGACAGGAGTCAAAAATAGGTATTGTAACGACAACCTTGTTATAAATCGTATGGATTTAATAATAGAAGATACACTAAATATACGATTCATAAGAGCACAGAATGCACATGTATTGAGATGTTAAGATACCGTAAATTGCATACTCAAGCGCACCGACTTATCTCTAAAATTATTATTATTTTTATGTGATGTATGAAGTAAATCGGCTAGCGAAAAGTCATCGTGAGTAGGTGTATTTCATTAAGGTTGTTTTTTGAGTGTATTTGTGGAAATTATGTTTTCAAAGATGAATGTTGTGTTCAAAGTTGGTTGAATCAATTTGAATAGCTTACACGCACGATCAACAAAAGATATAAATATTCTGTATCTACCAGGAAGTGTGCATTCCACAAAGAGAAAGTCGGCGAAGATAATCGGTCAATTTTACTTAGGACGTAATGCAATGTTCAGCTTGAATTGCGTAATCCATTTTCTCCAATGTTAACTGAAGCAGTGTGGAACAAACGAAAAGTTTGCATAGCACACTTCCTGGTAGAT